CACAATCTATATATATATATGCATGTATATATATGCATACATATATATTTATTTATATATATATATATATATATATATATATATATAGCTCATAAACACCTATGCACAAACCTGCATACGTACACACACAGAACACTTATCCATAGCACACACACACCTGGTGCACTTGCGTAAACCAACTGTTCAGCAACTCAGTCAGTGCTGCGAAGGCGGGCCCCGCAGCGGCTGACTCATCAATGAGTGATGACTTGGTACCTACACGTGAGCTGAGCAGATCTCGGATGTTCTGATTGGTCGAGGAACTGAAGCCGCCATCATCCGTAACACCTGCATGTATACAGCCATGTAACGGAACAGGAGTGAAATACAAATACGTATTTATTCATAAATATATAAGCATGTCTGCACGGTTTAATACAAATACGTATTGATGCATAAATAGAGGTATGTCGGCACAGGTTATCACAAACACCCTAAACGCAGATAGATCCGAAAATACACAGTTCAATACAAATGTTCTAACAAACACAGCCTATTTCATAAACGTATTGAGTAGCGCAAAGGGGGCGCACCTTCAGCCAAACTCAGATCCGCAGCCCGCAATACGGCGTTAATCGCCAAACTTTCGATCTTAAGCTCAACACAAATAGAGTGGTACATGCCTGTGGGTGAGTCGAGGGGGAAAAGGACGATAAATATATAAGCGAATCATTTGAATACATACAGTTATATATATATATATTATGATGATGAGGATATGTGGATACGCATTGCACACTCGGGGACTAGGCTGCGTGTAAGATCTGTCTGGTGTCAAAGGTACTAAGAACTTTGTCAGAGGTTAGCAGAACCCGGCCGAAAGTGACACCTACACTCATATGCACCTACATTCACGTATACCTGCACTCATATACACCTACACTCATATACAACTACGCTCATAAAAACATAAGCGCTGTACATCCGCTTGACAAGTCTTTCCCTTCTCGTTCAACTGTGTTTGACAAGGGCGATACAGGATCAAAAGACCCACCCCCGCACACAGCACATCGGATAGTAATAGAATGTGGCAACAACCAACTGATGAGGTTAACAGTATAAATGGACGTACGTACTATTGAACGTTTGATATCAGATGAGGTTAACAGTATCAATAGACGTACGTACTATTGAAAGTCTGATATCAGATGAGGTTAAAAGTATTAATGGACGTACGTACTATTGAAAATTTGATATAGTGCGCAACAAACGCCCACGACGTTATCACTGTGGCACGTGTGTCTCAGAGTTACACGGTTACGACGTACTTTTAAACATATACCAAACGATAGCGATTTAGGGTTTTAGGTAAACCCTAAACCCTAAAACCCTACACAGACGATAGCTCATAAAATATATCCACCTCTCAATATGTAGGTCTATATATCTATTCATATCGCTGCATCTCTAGATATGCATATACAACACTTCTTTCTCTTGATGTGCATGCACGTACCCTCGTTGTTGATGCAGAAGGCTGCCGACGATTGTAGTTCCGATATGATAGTGTTATCATCCTCCTCTCGCCCGCCCAAATCAGGGCGTTCTGAAGGCGACACCCACTGCACAAACCCTCGGTTGGATAACTGAGCACGACAAGTGAGTGAGACAGATGGGTGAGCGAGACCAAGGATTGTATGGCAGGAGAGTGAGTGTGAGAACGTGGTGCCTTTCATAGAGGTATATTGTAGGGAGGTTAGTCATTTTATTACATTTTTTAATAACAGATAGATACACACACACACACACA